TCGCATTCAGTCCCGGCATTCTTCAGCCAAACAGTACGATATCTGGGTTGATCACGACGGGAAGAGTATCACAGGAAGGTATTGTCAGAGTCCTATTGGTGCCAGAACTGTTGGAACATGCTCCCACGTTGCCTCTGTCATTTGGTAATTAGCATATGCGAGGAATATCAACTATAAACCGAAAGAGGACAAAATATCACCATTGTTAATGGATGCTGCAGAAAGCAAAAAGGCGTAACGATATGTGTCATATACATGTATTTACTTGCAATTCAAAGCAAAACATTGTGATGAGTATTCCAATCATAAAGACACAATATACTTTTGTCAGTTATTAATATTGTTAAGTGGTTGTGCATGTCATGGAAGTAAATTCAATAACGAAGTAAGAGACAAGGTAAACGAATTTGATATACACTATCTAGTTATTTCACTTTTTAAAAAAGATGCCTTTAGTTTACAACTTTACAGTATTGATGAGTCGAAACTGTATATCTACTGCTTGCCGGGTGGTTGAAATGCTCGCTATAACTATTAAAAGAAAATAAATATAAAATGTTATTCCTTTTGCCTAAATAAGGTTATACCTGTCTTGTAAATAGGGTCGACTACGTAACTGTATCTATATTTAGACGCAACTCTTCAAGCGTGGTGGGTATTTAAATGTCCTTCTCGATATAGGGAATAATCACGAGTTTCTGCAACACCCTCTTTAGTGATACATATTTAGTATGAGAACAAACCAACAACAACAATACATACTTAAAATATCCAATTTATTTGATAAACAAAGGAAAAAAGCAATGCGGTTTATTTTGCTAAGACCGAGTTTCAAACTCGCCATGCAATGTTACAATTAGATGTTCATGTGTGCATCGACTTTCAACGCCGAATTCAGACATCTGTGGAAAAAATGAAAAAAAGAAGGCTAGATACTTAGACGTCAAAGGTTTCTAGATCTCTTACAAAAGAATTGTACGGTACTTCAGTATTGATTTGTATTTTTTTTTAGTTTTACATTGTCAATGACATGTCCAATCTTTCCATTCAGCATGATTGAAATGATTATGATATGTCGGTTTTATTTCCTTTAATATGTTACGTAAATTAGTATATTTGTAAAACATGTCATCCTTTGGTTTGACTTTTAATGAGATGCATTTTATTGTTTCGTTTTATTACATACTCTGAATGTATATTGTCTTGGATTTTTTTTTCAAATACGACTGATGATTTATATACTGTTCTATTTCACTTTTTATCAATTACGGCAATGATTTCTTTAAAGAATTTTAATAAAAATGTATAATATATATTACAAACCTTGACAAGAGATCCACGGGCCTTAGAGCCAATCGCAAAACCCCTAAAGGATTACATTGTTTGTGACGAGCTGACGCTTTGCTTGTCGAAAACTTAAAATACTACGTCACATTCTCACCACATCAAAGGACGTAACCGAGATGGCCTCTCTCCCACGCTAAAGTCGGTCAGCTGCAACATACAGCTTGTTTTCGGGGTTCAAAAAATGGAGTAGACAGTCCCGATGTCGTTTTCTTGAATGTTACCTGCAAAGTTTCAAGTTTTTTTAAACCTTGAATTTAAAAAAAAGTTTTTTTTAACCTTGATTTTAAAAACGTTAAGATTTTTTCACTCCATTACGAATATTTTAATTGGTCGATTATTTTATTCTAGTATCGCAATTTTTTTTTCATATTTGCGAACAAGTATTAAAGTCGAGTAGTGCATGATTCATTGATCATTAGATTTATTAGTTACGCGTATCAACCCAAGTCATGCATGCTGAGATTGTTGGATTTGGTACAAAATATACTGGTGAAAAATGGATACCCTCTTTATGCGTATATTCGAGAGAAAAGATAAAGAGGGAAGGCCTGGGAAGACGTGTCCATTTACCTTCAAATTTTAACGATTGAAGTTCAATTTATTTTTAAGTTTTAACGAATGTTGTATGTACAAGGTAATTTATACCAAACGACGGAAAATATCTAATTATCATGGGCGTCGGAAGCAAATTAAAGTGGGGGCTAAGGGTAAGAAATTTTATTTTAGACCTTTCAAACCTGAGAAGCAAAAAAAAAAAACAACAACACACACACACACACACACACACAACAACAACAACAACAACAACACACACACACAACAACAACAACACACACACACACACACACAAACAAAAACAAGGGATGTGTATTTTCCAAACACAAAAGTCCTATTTCGTGGGTATACCTACGCAGCAATGTTCAATGTCTATACTAAGTCTAACTTTGAAAAAGCCCCCCCCCCCTCTCTACGCTCGCCCGGTTTCGACGCCTATGTCTATAAAGTCTAAATCTAATTACACATTTATTTTCTGATTCCTTTAGATGGGCCTGGCAGATTTTGAAAATAAATAGACTTTGTCCACGTGTTTCCTCTGAAGAAAAGGTTTTAAAGAAAATTTGCCAGTTACCGGTACTAAACTGCGTCGCAGGGAGCGTGCGCTAGTTTTTGTTATGTTGCAATTTTTAAATGATTAAAATATAATTAATATATTCTGGTATTTGCAATGAGTTTCTATAGGTGTTTTTATTTGGGTGCTTAAGCATTGTGCTATATATGTCTTGGAGAAGAACAGGTTTGTGATGTGGGTTGCACTAACGCGCAATATTGACTTTATTCTGATTTGTTTGTATATTGACCTAAAGAGAATATCGATGCAACAAGAGTGGATTACGGTCTTGAAATTTTTGTGACAGTCTCATGTATCCAAAGTACAGTGCACAATAATTTTTACGAATTGATATTTTTAGTGTATACATGTACTAAAATAACATGAAACTGTTTACTTAAGCTGTTGTAAAGTATCTTTATTAAAACGTAAAACCTTTCGAACAATATGTTTGAAACGAAAAAAAAGAAGGGTGGGTCGAGGGCTGGCCAAGCTTTTCTGATCACATTTTGCCTAACGTCTGTCTTTAAACTTTTCACATTTCCGAGTTCTTCTCTAGAAACACTGGGCTAATGTTAACCAAACTTGCCACAAGGCATTTTTTGGTAAACGGTATTCAAGTCTATTCAAATGAAGGGCGACCTCTTTGAGGAGATAATTCAGAAAATGTGAAAATTTGCAATTGATGACATGTTTTTAAAATCATCTCAAGAAACAGAGTGCCAAGAATGTTGAAACTTATGGGAGAAAATTTCAAGACGTGTAGATTCAAGTTTGTTCACATATACTCCCATCCCCTTTAAAGGTAGATTGGGACCACTTATGGATTTAAACTTTAAATACTGAGCTGATTTCTGCTATTTTCTTAGCCACGTTGCTCAGGTATGCGATGTAGCCCATGGGCCTCTTGTAGTTCCACTACGTTAGTACAATATAAATATTCATTGAATCGCATGATTATTAAAAGTTGTCTTAGCATTCGATAAAGTTGTCCCACAGTTGCTGAAATCGCACCTGGTTTTTTTTCCATTCTACCCCCCCCCCCCATATATGGAGGATATGTTACTGTTTGCAAAAACTCTGCGTACGTAGTGCTCAGTATGGGTTCCCTGTTATGGGTATTTACATGTTCTTACAGAAATCTCAGTTTTATAAAGGATTGCGAAAATGTGCTTTTGAGTACTTTTCTACATAATGCACAGTATTTAAAAATTCTGCAGCAGTGCATGTATGTCGTATATATGATCAATCAGAATGGATTTAATGTGTGCTTACTGATAATTAAAAAATCAGAGACTGTGTGCTAAATAAACGAAAATACCTGATCATATTTTAAACATCACTGATGCAATAGAGTGAAATATATACATATTCAGCCACTGAAACGTTTCCTGGAGAGAGAGAGAGAGAGAGAGAGAGAGCTATTAAACATGTGTGTATTTTTTAAAGCAAAACTATGTACCCGTTCTAATTTAGTATTTTTACATAATTATTGACAATTGTGAATAGGCATACTTCTCTTCTTGACAGAAATGTTCTTTTATATATGGATACTTAAAAGTACAAGTACATATTTTTCTGGTATAATACGGCTGTTTGGGGTATACATGTAATAAAAAATCTATGTATACTTAGTTCCCAAGTCTCAAGTTCACGGCTTGATACACGAACGGAATATTTCTCTTTTCCACAGAAAAATCATTTCACATCAACAGTACTAGTGATTTGAAACAATTAAAATACTACACAATCCAAGAATGACCAGGACGAATACTTAAAATCCAACAATTTAAATTGATCATGTACATCATTTTATATCGCATGTATACTGTGCCATATACCGGTACACAAATGGTAAATGCTATAAAATTAAATTTTCACGGCTTTTATTTATTACGGACTCTAAAAAAATGCATATAATATAAATAATGCTCTTTTTAAACTGTTTAATAAGATTTGTGTTTTCTGTCCCCTTTTGTAAACCCGTTAAACGTCGGCGATATGTATTGCAGCTGACCGACTTTAGCGTGGGAGAGACGCAATCTCGGTTACGTCCTTTGATGTGGCGAGAATGTGACGTAGAATTTAAAGTTCTCGACAAGCAAAGCGTCAGCTCGTCACAAACAATGTAATCCTTTAGGGGTTTTGCGATTGGCTCTATAGATCACCTGAGTTTCATGAAACAATTTTCCATCAATTGAATTTGGTGCGCGTTTAAACCAAAAGCCACGAATTTCACTTTGAAAGAAACACCATAGTTTATCGTAATTATACACTAAGCATGCTTAATCTAGTTACTTAATACCCATAGTTAGGTCAGAGTAACGAAGAGAAAATGCATTTCAACTTTATAACAAGTTCTGCAAGCCGCCGAACAAGAACCACCGACTCTGGGGCCACATATTTCGAAATTTCCATTACAGGGTCTATTCAATTCACAACTTTGGATAAAGCATTCTTCCTCGTTATAACTATGTTCATAGTTTATGGGAGTCATTCGTCATAGTTTTGACGTCAGATGTCGCTGGTGTACTAGAGGTGGTTACGTAAACGCTTTAATCAGCGCGGCGCTTGTAACAAAGTAAACAAATCAACGCGTTCTTCGAACTTGAAAGTTGACGGAGCTAAACCAAGGGGCTGATTCGATCTTTAATCGAGCTGTCACAACCTGAAGAAAGGTTTATCTGAATCTTGGGTAATTATTTTCTGTATATAATATACATTTATGGAAACTTTCTAAGAAATATCGAGTGTAACATGCCTACATGACGAAGATAGTACAATGACAAAGTGAAAGTATTGTTTACAATCGACATATTTGTGCTTGCACAAACACTAGATTCAAAATGAATAAGTATATGGTTTGAATGCTTATGGCTATATTTTGTTATTTTTTCATTTTTACGTGTCACTCATCGCACAGCTATAGGTTATGAAGGCCTACACTGGCTACATACAGTTGCATTTCGTTGTTGTTGTTTTTTGTTTGTTTTAAAGAAAAAGTCCCAATTGATCATCGAGGTTAAATTAGTACAACGTAATTAATTAATTGCAAGGCAAATACAAGCTAAACATTCTTTTTATTTGAACAAATTACCATAACAAAAGAAAATAAACAAAATTGAAACAAACACAAATATCTGACACATTTCATTCCTCACCAAAAGACTTTCCAGATCCTACACAGAGAAACATTAAATGACCATTCATTGATAATGATAAAGATAATCGATTCCTCATCAGCTTGATATTGTTTTTTCAAATTTACCGAAAAACAATTTGGAGGCTCCTTTTATTTTGATGCAAATGACCCGCATCTCGCAGTGGTTTGTAAGACCAAAATAAAAAATAGTCTTGTTTCCTGCTACCCGACCTACCCTATTTTTTGCACCTGACCCTTAAGTTTTTTATTTGCTTTTGGGGAAAAAATTCAGAATTTTATGAATTTCATGTTTCAAAAGTGAAAAAATATACTCAAGTTGTATTACATGAAATATATTTATAAAATATGAACTTACACAAAATTCCACTTGAATTGTTTATCAAAAGACATGGAATTTCATTTTAAAAGATATCTACCTAGCTATGACATGTTTAATTTTGTTTTGTAGTAGTTCATATTCAAAAAAATACCGTTGGAAAAAATGAAATTAAATTAAACAATAAAATAATTTTCCTACCTACCTACCCTATTTTTTTCTGGCTGGTAGCAGGAAACAAGACTATTATTTTTTTGGCCTAAGAGTATTTGCACTGTCGCGGGTTAAAATCCACTTCAGGGTGTGGAGACCAGTCCTACAAATAACACTATGTTAACTGGTCCTGTGTTGCAGTAGGTGTTGGCACAAACAAGATACAATGCATCACTGCTCAATGGCCCAGAAAGCCAAGAATAAGTATAAATTTGCAGTCCGCCACTAGCAAATGATGGTGTCTCCATATGAGTAAAAATTCTTCAGAATTAAGGGAAGGATATGGAAATAACGAACAGTATTCAATCTCAACGTCCATTAAACAAATATACAAAATAAGAGCAGAGCAAACACGGACCTCCGAAACATCAGAGGTGGGATCAGGTGCCATGGAGGAGTGAGCATCCCCTGCCGACCGGTCACACCCGCCGTGTGCTCGTTGTCATAATCAGGAAATAACGGAAAGAATCCGTGGTCAATTCAGTGTATAAATATTGGACTAACAATTGGTATGAAAAACGTCAGTCAGCATTTCATTCAATGATAAATTGTATTTGCTGACAAGGTCGTTGTATCGACCATAGAATTTACGAAATGATGACTTTAAACGAGACTGTTGATATTCTTGTTTCATCAACTTGCTTGTCAATAATTTACCTCGTTTAAGAAATTGTTCATACGTAGAACATGCTCTTGCGTATCGAATCAACTGAGATATAAATACTCCGTATGCAGGTGATGAAGGTATATTGCTGCATAAGTAAGGGAAGTTGACGATAGAAAAGTTAAAGTCATCACGTTTATCATATAGCTTGGTTGTTAGATTACCATTAGTGTCTTTTTCAAGTAAAATATTCAAGTATGAAGCAGAAGTGTCGGACTCTGTGGTATCTTTTATCTCAAACTCACCAGGATATATCGTGTCGACGTAGGAATGGAAATTAAAATTAAGGACTTTGAACAACAAACAAACATAGATTTAATATGTGCCCTTATACTTTATAGTGCATATAATTGATTTGATTCAGAAAATTATTTGTTCTGTGCACCTTTTTCTCATAGTCAGTAGCTATGTGTACCTGTATACATAGAGCATAACACCACGAATGATTACAAATATTTAGTTATAATTTGCTAGGTCCATTTTGTACAGTATCTGTAGGTCTCCGAAAATTTTTTTTTGGAGAGCTACAGTTCTGCAGCTAGCTGACTGTAAGATATGTGTTTTATTTCTAAATAAAAGCCTATGCTGAGTATATTGGTTTTTTATTATTAATAATTAGGAATATAAATTTTGTCATTGTATTTTATTCAGGAAATCTGCAGGTAAAATACCAGTAAGATGTCAAACCTTAAATGGAGCTTTATTTTTGCCGGATGGTACATGTAATTTAAAAATTCTATTTTTCCCTCATCCAATTCATGAAATGGCATCCATCCTATTGTCAGTGCTGCCAGGGGAAAAACAGGAATGGTATGTAAATGCATTTGTGCTTTTTAAATAATAGAAGGTACTCATACATTATACCTGAGCAATACTTCAATGCTTCAAATTTTAATTCTAAAATATATATATATATATATATATCTTTCCTTTCATTATCACTAGGTGTATTACAACCTAACACTGGATGTTGAGAAGTTTGGCAGTCCTATACATTCACCATGTTCTAAGTCTGAAAAAATGTTCTGCTGGAAATATGGGGTAACATTCAACCTGTACACACATAGCCCAGTAATGCTCATGCTTGGAGAATTCTCAAATAAAAAAAAATAATTTTGTATGCAGTATCTTCAGAATTTTCACAAACGGTAAGGACTTTATATTCCTTTGAAAAGTAGATCAATTTTATTTATAAATTAAAAATATTAAAAGACAGTTTAATTTACCGAAAAACAAGTACAGTCTTAATAATGCTATTACTCTATACTAATTGCTACTCATTCATATTCGAAGGGGCTCCAAAAAAATTTTGAAGAGAAAACAAGCTGATGTCCATGTACGCAAAGAATCCCTGGCAAGAGAACTTAGTGAAATGAAAGAATGCACAGACTTAACATTTTAAGATTTGTTGGTACAAAGTGACATTGAAATGGATTTATCTTTCCAAAGCTTGAACTTTTTGCTGTTAAGGATTTTGCTTATTTTTAGCTCTACTGGTCAGAGACCAGAAGAGCTTATGCGATAGTAATGCGTCCGGCGTCCGTCCGTCCGTCTGTCTGTCTGTCTGTCCGTCTGTCTGTAAACAATTTTTAAAAACGCTACTCCTCCTACAATTTTAGTTTGATTTCAGTATTACTTGGCAAACAAGTAGACTACACTAAGATACATAGAATAGTGCATTGGTTTTTGATTTCGATGGACGGTGTTGCCATGGTTACTAAATATAGAATTTTCCGTGAAATTCCTTAAAAACGCTACTCCTTCTACAGTTTTTGTCTGATTTCAATATAACTTGGCACACAAGTAGACTACACTAAGATACATAGAATAGTGCATCGATTTTTGATTTCGATGAACGGTGTTGCCATGGTTACTAAAAATAGAATTTTCTGTGAAATTCCTTAAAAACGCTACTCCTTCTACAGTTTTTGTCTGATTTCAGTATAACTTGGCACACAAGTAGACTACACTAAGATACATAGAATAGTGCATCGGTTTTTGATTTCCATGAACGGTGTTGCCATGGTGACTAAAAATAGAATTTTCTGTAAAATTCCTTAAAAACGCTACTCCTTCTACAGTTTTTGTCTGATTTCAGTATAACTTGGTACACAAGTAGACTACACTAAGACACATAGAATAGTGCATCGGTTTTTGATTTTGATAAACGGTGTTGCCAAGGTTACTAAAAATAGAATTTTCTGTGAAATTCCTTTAAAACGTTACTCCTTCTACAGTTTTTGTCTGATTTCAATATAACTTCGCAGACAAGTAGACTACACTAAGATACATAGAATAGTGCATCGGTTTTTGATTTCGATGAACGGTGTTGCCATGGTTACTAAAAATAGAATTTTCTGTGAAATTCCTTAAAAACGCTACTCCTTCTACCGTTTTTGTCTGATTTCAATATAACTTGGCACACAAGTAGACTACACTAAGACACATAGAATAGTGCATCGGTTTTTGATTTTGATGAACGGTATTGCTTTGGTTACTAAAAATAGAATTTTCTATGAAATTCCTTAAAAACGCTACTCCTTCTACAGTTTTTGTCTGATTTCAGTATAACTTGGTACACAAGTAGACTACACTAAGATACATAGAATAGTGCATCGGTTTTTGATTTCGGTGATCGGTGTTGCCATGGTTACTATAAATAGAATTCTCTGTAAAATTCCTTTAAAACACTACTCCTTCTACAGTTTTGGTCTGATTTCAAAATAAGTTGGCACACAAGTAGACTACACAAAGATACATAAAATAGTGCAATGGTTTTTGATAAGTACAAACCAGTAGAGCTACAGTCTCGACAGAGACTTCTGGTTATTTATAGCTGTAAATAAAAACTAGATGCTGTCATGAGACAGTAATACCCGCACTAAGGTGTTTGCCTCTAAATACACAATCCTACGGGCGGCTTACCAAGGAAAAAATCAAAATAATTCTATATAATTCAGGCACGTAGCATCGTTTTTGAAAGTGGGGGGGGGGGGGGGTGCAACCTGAGAAAATTTTTTTTAAAAACCAAAAAAAATTAACAAGGAAAAAAAATGAAATGGGGGGGGGGGGCGGTAGTGGCCACTTTTTTTTTCAAGGCAAAATTACTTTCACTTCCAATTTTTTCCCATATTTCCTTGCAATGTATATACTGTGGTAAAAAGTGGGGGGGGGGGCAACCATCTTTTCAATGGACATTTTCTTATAGTACAGGTAATGTTGGGAAAAAAAGGGGGGGGGGCAGCCCCCCCCCCCCCCGGTTGCTACGTGCCTATAATTTACATGTATTCATCAAATTGGGTATGAAATTATCCCTGTGACCTATAACTCAGAACCTCTTATATTTATTTTACATGCTTAATTCATTATATACCAGTTTGAATTCTATTAATAATGTGAATTAGATTTTGATAAATGTTTTGCTCATAATAGGACCTTTTTAAATTTACTAATCCCCCCCCCCTCTCGACACCACAATCACACAGTACATACTTTTGGGAATAGGCTAGATGGAACAGTTTTGTTAAAACATTGTTTGTTATGAATTAATTTAAAATTTGTTCTTGACATGTAAATTCTACATCACATCACGTTGCGCCACCCATTATCATATTTTTAGATTAAACTCTATTCGGTACACCTCGGCCAATTCCCACTTCATCTCATAAGGTGACGGAATCGATGGCACGAAGGTTTTCCGAATGGAATATCATTATAACATGCTGCAGAATGGTGTGCTTTGGATTAATTCATTTTGTGTTATAATTGGATTTATATTTCATGAAGTTTACAAGACCTATGGAGGTCGGTAAGTACAAGTTTAAGTATAGTGGGGGGTAAAATAAACCCAAACGATTAGGTTAAAGTTCAAAAAGGGTCAAAGATCATCGCATGCCACACTAGACGAATTTCATATTGTGAAGTTATCTCCCCTTGTCGATGTGACATTCAGTTACTGCCAATACTGGTGCGGATCCAGAATTTTTTTTCGGGAGTAGGGAGGGGGGTTCACATCTCAGTCAAAAAATTCATGCCTAGAATTTCCTGACAAGCAGGAGAAAAAAACTCATACACTGAAAACAAATAAACAAAAAAAACCCAATGTTTTCTTAGTTAGGGGGAGGATGTCCAAAGTCATTTTTTATTTGCTTCAGTATATAGTCTTGTTTAAATAACAAAGGAAATTCCAGGGGGGTCCAATCTCCCTACCCACTCACTATCCCTGAAATAACAATCTATTTTGTGATTCCAATTAAATAGTATATTTTTTTCCATTTGACTAATTATGTACATATTTTGTTTCTTGTGTTTATATTATGTCTGTCTATTTGTCTGCAGAAATTATAACCTTGCCCATAAGTTTTAAGTGGGATGGGCTATACAATTGGCTTCCACATTTTATAGGTTTATTTCTTGTGACAATTAAGACCTTTTATTTGGGTACCATTAATTTTTACCTCTGATCACTTGACCTAGAATACACATTTTTACAAGAAAAATACCCAACTTTAAACTTGGCTTAAATTTTGATCAGTAGGTGCTAGGGCTTTCATGCTTAACATGTGTATTCATTGTGAACTGTCAACAGGTATAAATATGTTTGACCTTGACCGTAGAGTTTGAACCACTTAAAAAATTAACCTTGGCAATTAACTTTTGAAGAGGAAGTACTAGGGATTACTTATTTCACATGTGCATTCCTTGTGACAAGACTTTTTTTCTGATACCAACAATTTGAACCCTTTGACCTTGACCTTTGAGTTTGACATATATTTGAGAAACTTCAACCTTCGCCATAGGCTACCAGACAGGGACATCAGTGTTTCACAAACACATCTTGTCTTCATTATTATTTGGTGGTGTCTCCATATGACGGAAAAATTCCAATGAGAGATGTATTCACAACAAACAAACAAATTACTAAAGAAAATATAAAACATGAATATGTTGGTCATGCATATCTCTGCATGAAAAAAAACAGCTTTTCAAGTACTGCAACCATATTGTAACCCTTTCAAAACACTCATTTGAGCTTTTCTGGTTTCCTTGTCATATAACGTCTGTTGTGACATGTTGTCCATCTGTTTGTCTGAAAACTTTTTACATTTTTAACTTTTCTAGAACCACTGGTCCAATTTTACCCATGCAATTCATATAGAAATATGTACATTTGTATGTCAGACTGTTCTTCTGTCTGAATAAAATTAACCTTGGTTATCACGGTCATATCTACTGAATGAGAAGAGACAAGGCATTCATATTAAACTTATGTACTAGTATTTACCTGTGAGAATGGCATGGTTTTTTTTTTACATATGACCTAGAAGTTTGACCTACTTGCAAAAAAATTAAATTGTTATAAATTCATCATTTTGAAAGAGAAAAGTTACGGCATTCATATTATAATGCATGTATATTATTACCTGTGATAAGATCTTTCCAAATGAATCATGACTTTTATTCTGTGACCTTGACCTTGAAGCCTAACCTACTTTTCAAAAATGTTTGCTTATAACTTTTGATTGAGATGAGATATGACTCTCACATTTGACATGTACATTAATTACTCATAAAAATTCAAGGTGTTTCCCAGCTTGCAATGTTTTTTTACTCTTTAACGTTGATGTTTTACATAATTTTCAAGATATTTAACTCTCCTAAAAAATGATTAGGCTTCCGAGTAACATTAAGGAGGACTTCAGGAAAGACAGGACTTTTTGCGCAAAAAATGTCATTTTTCCAACCCCATTTGACCTCCCAGGGCAATGTCAAAATTCCAAAACCTTGCTGCACATCTACATGACACTACCAACCATCTCCCTAAAGATGATTAGCCTACTGTGTAAAATGTAAGAGGAGTTCAGGGAAGACGGGGCTTTTTGCATAAAAAACGTCATTATTCGACCCCCATTTGACCCCCCAGGGCAAAATCAAAATTCCGAAACCTTACTGCACATCTACATGACACCACCAACCATCTCCCAAAAGATGATTAGGCAACTGTGAAATATGTAAGAGGAGTTCAGGGAAG